ATCCTCTGCCTTCAGCAGATTTTTAATGATATCCTTTGATTTTTTAGTCAATCGATTCGGTTTGCTTATGAGACACTTTTTTATTCCATCACCTCGTAAATGTTCATTCAACGATTTTTCTTTCATTTTGTTTAGAATGGGATTTATAATTTCCTCTTTATATGTAGAAAACGGCGGTGATTTTACGTATGTAGACGCTATATTTTTAAGCCCTGAAGTTACACCTTGAATGATATCCTCTTTATTATTTTTCCAAAAAGCTTTTAGTATATTGCGATATAAGAAGCCTAATGCTGGTATAGCAAATTTTTTTATAGATTGAAAAATATTTCCACCTCTAATATCTCTGTGATATTTAAGACCAAACCCATATTGTTTCGGAAATAATTGTTTTCTATGAACGACAAGTACCATTTATTCTACAAGAAAGAATCAGGTAAGACGTCCCCAAAGGCGAAGACAATTACTGTATATCTAGAACAAAATTTAAGCACTCTCCATTAAAATTTATCAATTGATTTAGCTGATTTGTAACAGAAATGCGAATATGAAATATATAATCCGTACGATTAATTGGTAAATATTTTGAATGCGTTGGTTCAATATTAATTAAAGATCTAGGTGAAATATTTGGAATAAAAGCGTATATAACATCACTTTTAAGATTGTTTTAATAACTAGATGAAATTAAGGAACAGTGAATCAAAATTTGATCAATATCTTTGGTGATATTACCAATTTTTGTTGCATAGTTTATTCCTTGTTTATATATTTTTTTATCAAATCCTAAAAGCTCATGAATCTTTCCGTGGGAAAAGTCAATTTCACCATCTATGTCGCGTATAATTAGCATAAAACGATTAGTTGCATAATTTACATCAAAATAAAACGGGGGTGTTTCAAAAGTTCCAAAATATTCTTGGATATAATTATTTAATTCATTTTCATCGTACAGGCCGTTTGGTAATTTTAATATTTTCCAATCCTGTTCAACCCGAACCCCATCTTTTCTAATTTCATTCTGTTTATGCTCACGAGGGTCTTTAGACATGCGCTGGACTAGTCCCTTTAGGGACGACCTGTATTTCATTTCATTATTTTTATACTCTTCAGTAATGTTATCCCAACTATACCAGAGACTTGCTGTTTTTAAAGCAATTTCACCTTTTAATCCGGATAAATTAATAGGATTTTCAGAATAACTTATTTCAAAATCATTTTCTTTAGATCTGATGTGTATTAGGCTCATTTATTCAGTTTAAAAAAGCATGCCAAGTGTCGTGAATATCTTTTTGTACATTTTTTTTTAATACACGAAATCTTTCCCGAACAAGAAACTATTTAAAAACATATTTAACTATCGTGTTGTTCAAATAAAACTATAAGTAACTAAAAAAGTCCAGATCTCAATTATAATGAATTTTTTATTTGTTGAATTACCAAATCCATAGGTTTTTGCAAAATTTTACTGTTTCAAGAACATATTTCACATGGTAATTTCTTACAGAGAAATGAGAATTTTGCAACTAAGCTCCGCCCTCGGCTCACTATGAAGAAAAAATCATCACAATTGCGAGGGGGTGGGCGGGCGGGGCTTATATTTTGTACATTTTTTTTTTAATATACGAAATCTTTTCATAACAAGAAACTGAAAACTTATTTAACTATTATCAAAAGTGGAATAACTTCTATAAAAAATAAATTTGGAGTTTTTTTCGACAGATCTTGAACAAATCTATACATTGAAAAATAATGACGTTTCAAAATATGCAAATAAATAAATAATATAAACAAAATAAAACGATATAATAAATAAATAACGTAATAAATAAAATACAATGATAACTTTTTAAAAATCGTGATAATTTCGGCCAAACAAATATCTATACAGATTCCAAAAATTTCAAGTGGAGACAATGATCCGTAAAATTTTTCTTAATTTTCAATCTAGCAGTTTTTCGATGGGTTTTAAATAAATGGCGATTTTTTTTTATTAAGAAACTTATACTTTGATGGGCAAAATTAATTTTTCGAGAATAATTTTAAATTTACCGAAAAAGTTTCTTCTGTAGAAAATTTTCAGCAAATTTTTAATCTGAAGGGTTTTTTTGGTGAATCTTAAATGAATATAGACATCAGAAGTGGAAATTCTAAAAATAAATTGTCTCTGCCTTTGTGAACATTGGTTGAACCATATCGAAATCGATAATATTCATGTGCCCGATTTCAACACGGCAGCATTTTTTGCGCGGTCTTCAAAGAAGCATGGAGGAGTCATGCAGCTGATGCACCAAAGTATCCCCTTCAAGATTCTGTCTGATAAGGTATCACCACTTTCTGCTGAGGTGGATTGCGAATCATGCGGCGTACTTATCACTAAGTTAGATTTAATTTTAATAACGGTTTATCGCTCGCCAAAAGGCGATTTTCATAAATTTATTGATACTATAGTCATTCTTCTTAATGAAATTCATTGCAAATCTAAATACGTCATAGTGGGTGGAGATTTTAACTTATTATTTGGCACTAATGATGCAAAAGCCAATTATTTTTGTAATCTTTTGTCTAGCTACGGCTTATATTCTACTGTCAGATTTAAAACGCGTTATAACAACACACTTGATAATGTGTTTACTAATATTAATTCAAATATGATAAATATAACACCTGCTAAACTTTATCAGTCGGACCATACTGGAATATGTGTAAATGTTACTCTAAAGGAAGCTGTATTCGATAACTCATTTATCCCTAAATATGTAAGGCCCATCTCACAGTTTGGGAAAATCATGTTTTTTAATTTATTACAACAAGTTGATTGGAGTTTCATTGATCAAAATTGCGACTTTAATACGTCTGATTTGTTCTCGATCTTTATAGATACGCTACTGTTGTATTATAATATCGCCTGTCCTGAGAAGAAACTATCGTGTAACAGATCCATGGTCCATAATATAATTTGGTATACCCCTGATTTAAAAATCATGCGAGAAACTCTGCATCTAATATATAGTTCTTACAGATTATATGGGACTTTGGATTTAAAAATAATGTATAATAATTTTAAGCGTAAATATGAAGAAGCTATTAAAAAAGCTAAAATTGCAGCCAACAATGTCTTTATTAAAAACAATTCTAATAATTTTAAAGCTATGTGGTCATTAATAAATAGAAGTACAAAACGTACTATTCATGAAACTATAAAAATTTCCTCTAACGAATTCAATTTACATTTCTCGAGCATTGCTAAAAATATTCTTAATTCCTTACCAAATACTAATCTTGATCCTGTTAAAATTATTATATCTGTTAATAACACGTCACATATGTTCTTTAAATTCAGGACAGTTGGAGAGGTACAAGTTCGTGAGGCATTGAATAAATTAAAAAATAAGAGCAGCAAAGATATTTATGGGTTCAATGTCGACGTTATAAAATCAGTAAAGGATATACTAATTGCACCTTTGACCAAATTAATAAATAAATGTATTTTTGACTCGGTTTTTCCAGACTGCTTAAAATTGGCTTTAGTATGTCCAATATGCAAAAAAGGTAATGTCAATGAAGTTGATAACTATCGACCAATCTCCCTTCTTCCAGTGTTGTCTAAAGTGTTCGAAAAATTAATGTTAGAACAAATCCTTGAATTCTTTATTAGTAATAACTTGTTTTGTACAAATCAGTTTGGATTTCGTAAAGGCTTATCCACTGAAAAAGCTGTTCTATCTTTTATTGATAATGTCGTTAAATCCTTTCAAGATGGTGAATATTTTGTGTCTGCCTTCCTAGATCTTAGTAAGGCATTTGACTGCATGTCTCATGAAATACTAATCCGTAAACTTTTTTTTTACAACTTTCAGCCAGATGCCACTAGATTAATTTCATCGTATCTTTTGAATCGATTGCAAGTAGTCTCTGTCGATGGTATAGTCTCCGATAAAGAACAAATCGCGTATGGTGTACCTCAGGGGTCCATCTTAGGGCCTCTACTTTTCTTAATTTATGTGAACGATCTGCCATACTTTTTCCCCGATTTTTTTACGATATTGTACGCGGACGATACTACTTTTAGTAAAAAAGCAATGTCATCTTCATTACTAATAAGTACTCTTATGAATATATTCTCGCAAGCGGAACCTTGGTTTTTCGCCAACAAACTTTGGGTAAATAAGGACAAATCAGTTCAGATGGTATTTTCATTGAAGAAAGATAAGTCTTTTGCGGATACGGAAAGTACTAACAAGTTCCTCGGAATTGTTTTAGATACTAAATTACTTTGGCATGAACATGTGGATTATATTGTTCACATCATTTCTAAAAATACTTATCTCTTAAGAAACTTATCAAATCATGTTGATCAAAACATATTAAAAATTGCATATTATGCGCTAATACAATCTCACGTAGTATATGGTATACTAATCTGGGGACACAGCGCCTCGTCACAAAACCTTTTTAGGCTTCAAAGAAGAGCTATTAGAATCCTTTCAGGTATTGGTTATCGTAATGATTGCAAATTTTCATTTCAATCCTTAAATATTTTGACATTGCCCTGCTTGTACATCTATCACTGTTTTAAATTTTTAGTAAACCAAATCAATCAATTTCCTACACTGAGTTCTTTCCATGACTATAATACCAAGTCCACAAATTTGTTAATCGAAAATTTGAGAATAAACCGTTGCAGAACTGCCGGGAACTATTTCTGTATAGTGTTCTTTAACAAATTACCTCAGAGTTTCCGCAACCTTCCACCATCTCAATTTCTAAAAAAAATCAAGGATGTCTTAACCGAAAATAGTTTTTATAGTTTTAATGAATATTTTCAATATAATTTTGAGTAATTTCTTGTTTATCATGTAGCTCATAATCTACATAAGTATTGTATTGCATAGTTTTTATGTTTATTTTTACTATTACATTCTTGTAACCTTTGGACGAGTGTATAAACTTTATGTTTTTAGCACAATAAAATTACTTACTTAAAAAAAATTACTTACTTACTCTATCAGTTTTTCTCCATTTTCATTTGTTTTTTGGTGTTTGCTTTCTTTCCCGATTGTTGGCCTGTAGCAATTCTCTTTACCTATCATTGCGTTGGCGTCTCCTATAACCATTTTAATGTCATGCTTTGGTATTTTCACATACTCTCTTTCTAGTTCTTCGTAATATTCTGTTTTTACTTCTAGATCTTTCTCTTCAGTCGGCGCATGTATATTCAGTAGGCTTATTTTCCTCTACTTACTTCTCAATCTTATATAGCTCATTCTTTCTGAGATTGATTTGAAGGTAATTACTGCTCCTTTCAGGCTCTTCTTCACCATGAATCCTGTTCCTAGTTCTCTGTTGTCAATTCCGCTATTAAATAATATGTAGTTGTCTATTTCAGTGATGAATTTGCCTTTTTGTTTCGTCTCTTGTATAGCTGCTACATCTATATTATACCTTTGTAATTCTTGAACTATTTGTTTGTGTTTTCCTTCGCTATATGTTCCTCGAACATTCCATGTTCCTATTCTAATTTTCGGGTTTTTCTTTCTCTTCGTAATTCCTATCGGGTCATCCATGAGCTTTGCATACGTCGTCATTGTTTTCCGGTGTGTGGTTTCTTCCTCTGTTAGTTTTTTGGATTTTCTTTGGGGTGCGACGGTGCTTTTACTAATTTGTCTAATTTAGTGTCCCAATGCCAGACTTCTCCTGCCCATATCGTCTTTTTGTACCCTACTTTTGCCTCGACTCCTTTCCCTTTTTCTGCTGCTGCTATTCCTCTTATTTTCTTCTGTATCTCGCTCTCTTGTTTGGTGTAATCGTCTTCAATAAACGTTTTTGATCCTTTTAATTTGTTCTTCTGCTTCATGATTGCTCTTTTTGTGTCCCAGTTCTCTATCTTTGCTACTACTATGTCGTATTTTTCGCTGACTAATTTTGCGTCTTGTATCTTAGTTTGGATTCCTACCTTATTTTTTAGGAGTTCTTCAACCTCTGCTGTTATTTCGCTTCCTTGTAGTTTCCCTCCTTGGATTACGATGTTGTTTCTCCTTTCTGCTTTTTCCAGTTTTTCTAAGTGTTGCTCCACTCTTTCTAATCTTTCGGTCAGTCTTTGGTTTTCTTCTCTTAGTGTTGTTACTTCTGTTTGGTATGCTCTTTGGTTTTCATTTCTGCGATTTCCTCCATTAACGTTTTGAACATATTCTTTACTTCGTCCATGTCTCCTGCTTGTACCCTCTTCTGCTTCCTCTGTACTCTTTGACCTTCCGGTGATGGTGAAAAGGAGTTTTCTCTTTTTCGTTTCTGGTTGTCTTGTTCTTCTATTGCTAGTATCTACTCAGTTTTATTCATACCATCCAATGTCTCGCTTCAATGTTTGACTATTATGTTGATTATGAGCACAATGCTGATCAACTTCCGTATCCGAATTACCCATGAAATAAATCATCGCGATTTGCACCTGAGGTAGTTCGTCGCACAGAATTATTTTCACAGTCAATCAAATCTGTAAATTTTGTCTTGAGAATTTTAAAATATTGAAAACTTCAAATTAAATCCTCGAATAACGGTAAAGGTTGAATTTTTCATTGCTACATCGCTCCTATTGATCGTAGTGTGATGTTATATAGCCCATATGTAGACACGATAAATGGACTATCCAAGACAAAAAGATTTTTTGAATTCGAGCCAGTAGTTTCTGAGAATAGCGCGTTCAATTAAACAAACACTTAATATAAGTATAAATGTGTATTAAAAACATGATTGTACAATATATGGAATCTTTAATCTATTTAACTGAATCATTCTTTGCTGAAAATTTGGCAAACGCAACAATCCAAAAACACATCCAATTGGGCAGTAAAGCACCAATAACAACATTAAACACCAAATTGCCATAAATCATACTTTGTTCTAAGCTTGAAACTATGGCTTGTTGTGTCACCTCAAAACCTCTGGAACAACTATACAAAAATCCTTCTTCTGGAAACATCACATTCATGTACACTACCACATTAAAAAACAAAACAAACACAGGATAAGTCACAAACCAAACACGACATAGAGAAGGCCGACAAACTCCTAGAAACATCACCAACGGGACGTAAATAACCCCACAATATAGCGCCAGCGCAAAATTACAACATGAAACCGAAATTAAAATAGTGGCTAACTCCAACAGAGCCAAAATATACAAAACGGGTGCAGCTCCTTTGAGAACATTAAGAGGGATAAAACGTGGACTTGCTAATATTGCAATGCTGATTAAAACAACACCGTAGAAGAAAAGGGCTTCTGGTGGCGGAAAATTGTCGGAAGGGCGTGATAGGAATGGGATGAATGTGGACAGGAATAAATGACAGCGCATTTTCAGGTAGATGCAGATTTCGCCCAGAGTGAGGATTTTTTCAGGGTAACACATCAGGAAAAATCCGACGAGGTGGACTGTCAGGATGATGCAACTAATGACAACCCAGTCTTTGAAGTGTGGGCTTGGCTTGTAAGTTCTGAGGGCTTTTTCGTATTTTGTTTTCTGTATGCCTAGATATTTTTTCATGTCTTCGGGTATGACGGGGGTGCGGACCTTGATGGGTGGACCACCACCGGCAATCACGGGTAGTGGCGTTTTGAGATAGTTAAACCAATAACCATAGCTCACGAAGATGAGTGTTGCAGCCATTATCCACACAATCCAAGTGTATATATCTAAAACAAACGCAAAAAAATGTCTTAATGGTAGATTTTTCAATTATTCTATTTTCCAAGTTTTGGATTTTTCAGGTTTTAGATTTTCTATTTGAGTTTCTCGGGTTTTTAATTTTTGATTTTTCAGTTTTCCGATTTACAATTTTCGTTTCGGTTTTTTATTTTCTTTACTTTTACAATTATTTGATTTGTAATTTTGGTTTCAGCAAATTTACGATATACAACTCATCCAACTTTTAGATGTTTCAATTTTTCAATTTTTCTACTTTCAGTTTTTCATTTCTTCAATTTTTCGTTTCGGTTTATATTATCTAGTATTTTTCAATTTCAGATTTTCAGTTTCTCGATTTTTCAATTTTTCGAAATTTTCTTTTCCACAAAGTGATTTTTATTTTTCATTTTCCTGACTTTTTTAATTTTAATTGCCTCGATTCTATGTCACAATTTTTCGTATTTTCATTTGCTTTTGTTTTAATTTTTCGTTTATTCAAATTATCAAATTTTTGATCTTTGATTTTCAATTCCTGGATTTTCCAATTTTTCAATTTTGCAATTTTTGCATTTCCAGTTATTCCATTTCTTTAATATTCAATATTTCGATTTGGAAATATATTTCGTTTTTTTGATTTTTGAATTTTTCGTTTCTTCAATTTTGCAAGGTCTTAATTTCCAACTTTTAGATTTTTCATTAAAGTTTTCATTTTATACTTGTTCTTTTTTTCATTTTTGGTTTTTAGTTTTACCGTTTTGCAATTTTTTTCATTTTTTTGATTCGAAAAATTGAAAAATTGGAAAACTCAAAAATTGTAAAATCGAAAAATTATAGAATCCTGAAACTGTAATATTGAAACATCTAAAAATTCAAAACTAAAAATGGAGAAACTGAAAAATCGAATAAAAGAAAAGGTTTTAAAATCCGGTAGTTGAAAAACGGAAAAATTCTAAAATCGTAAAATTGAAAAAGTGATTTTTTTTAAATTATATTCATGATTAATTACCTATTTAAAGCGAAAACTAGAAAAATTGCAAATCAAAAATTGAAAATTTTCACATTGAAAAAAAGAAATTAGAAAATCAGAACAATGAAAAACAAAAAAATTGTAAAAATAATGAAGATGAAGAACCGGAACGAAAAATTGCAAATCTTTCGATATTGAAGACATAAAAAATTGAAAAATCGAAAAATGGGAAACTCAAAAAATGGGAAAATCCAAAATTGAATATCGAAAAACTAAAAAATTAATCCCGAAAAATTAAAGAATTGAAAAATCTAAAAACGAGAAGGCAAAAAATCGAAAGACTGAGAAATCGAAACAGTAAAAAAGTGAAAAATCTAAAATATAAACAAATCCAAAATTCAAAAAACTGAAAAATTGAAAAACGTAAGACTTAAAAGTCACAATATTTTGCAAAATCGAAAAATCTAAAAATTTAAAAATCGAAATATATATTGAAAAATCCCAAAATTTAAAAATTGAAAATTTGAGAAATCGAGAAATGGGAAAGACAAAAAATCGAAAAGTCAAAAAAATAAGAATCTGCTAACACAAAAATTGAGAAATCGAGAAATCCAAAAATTTAGAAAGGCCAATAATTGAAAAATTCAAAAAATTGAGCAATCAAAACATCAACAAAACGGAAAATCAAAAAACTGAAAAATTGGTAAACGTAAGACTTAAAAAGTTGCAATATTTTGAAAATTCGAAGAAATAAAAAATAAAAAAGAAAACAAAGTCGAAAAGTCTGAAAATTTAAAAATCGAAATACATTTTTTAAAATCCCAAAACTTAAACATTGAAAATTTGAGAAATCGAGAAATGGAAAAGACAAAAAAATCTAAAAGTCAAAAAACAAGAAATCGATTAATCGAGAAATTGAGAAATCGAGAAACCTAAAAATTTAGAAACTCCAAAAATTGGAAAATAAAAAAAATTGAGCAATCAAAACATGGACAAATGGAAAAATCAAAAAACTGAAAAATTGAAAACTATAAGACTTAAAAAGTCGCAATATTTTGAAAAATCGAAAAAATAAAACATAAAAAAAACAAAGTCGAAAAATCTAAAAATTTAGAAATCGAAATACGTATTGAAAAATCCCAAAACTTAAACAATGAAAATTTGAGAAATCGAAAAATTGAGAAATCGAGAAATGGGAAAGACGAAAAGTCGAAAAAATAAGAAATAGATTAATCGAGAAATTGAGAAATCGAGAAATCCAAAAATTTAGAAACTCCAAAAATTGGAAAATTAAAAAAATTGAGCAATCAAAATGTCGACAAATCGAAAAATCAAAAAACTGAGAAATCGAAACAACAAAAAAGTGAAAAATTCTAAATTTAAAGATCCCAAAAATTGAAAATTCAAAAAATTGACCAAATAATAGAAAAAATAAAAAATAAAAAAGGAAAGTCCAAAAATCTAAAAATTTAAAAATCGAAATACGTTTTGAAAATTCCCAAAACTTAAACATCGAAAATTTGAGAAATCGAAAAACTGAGAAATCGAGAAATCGAAAAGACGAAAAATGAAAAAAATCGATTAATCGAGAAATCCAAAAATTTAGAAATACCAAATATTGAAAAATTGAAAAATCGAAAAATTTAAATACATAAATCCCAAAACTGAAACACTGAAGAATTGGAAAATCGAAAAATCGAATGGCGAAATATCGAAGAGTTGAGGAATGGAAGTGGCTTAAAATCGAAAAATGGGAAAATTCAAAATTGAAAAATTTGTACTTAAAAAGCCGATAAATCGAAAAAGTGAAAAATTAATTCCGAAAAATTGAAACACCAAGAAATCTAAAAATGAGAAATCGAAAAATTGAAAGAACGTTGTTAAATCGAAAACTGAAAAATCGGGATATATCGAAAAACTGAAAATTAATTCCGAAA